CTGAACAGATACCTCACCAAAGAAGATATATAGATAGCAAGTTAGCACATGAAGAGATGTTCAATAACCTAAAATTGTTAGGGAATTGCATATTAAGACAAAAAGATGATATCACTACATACCTACAAGAATGACCAAAATCTAGAACACTGCCAATACCAAGTTGTCAAGAACGTGGAACAACAGAAACTCATTTCTTGCTGGTGGAAGTGCAAAATGGTACGGCCACTTTGGAAGATATTTTGAAAACTAAACACATTCTTACAATATGATCCAGCAATCGCTCTTCTTGGTATTTGCCCACAGGAATTTGAAAAATGTTTACACAGAAACCTGCATGCAGATTGAAGCAGCTTTAGTCACAGTTGCTAAAAGTTGGAACCAATTGGGATGTCCTTCAGTAGGTGCATGGGTAAATAAACTGGTACATCTAGACTGTGGAATATTATTCAATGCTAAAAAATAAATTATCTATCAAGCTATGAGACTACACGAAAGAAATTTAAATGCATATTACTAAGTGAAAGACACCAATCTGAAAAAGATACATATTGTATAATTTTAACAACATGACACTTTGGAAAATTAAAAAAGATTAGTGGTTGATTCTTTAAAGGGAAAGGGCAGGATGAACAGAGCACCAAGGATTTTTGAGTAGTGAAACTATTCTGTATGATACTACAATGGTGGATGTAGGTCATTAAATATTTGTCAAAGCCCATAAATACAACACCAAGAGTAAATCTTATATAAACTGTGGACCTGGGTAGTCCATAGTTTACATAATGTGATGATGTGTTGATGGAGGTTCCCTGATTATAATGAATGTACCATTGTGGTGTGGGATGGCCTTGTGGTGAAGTGTAGTGTGTATAAGGGGGTTGGGGGACATATGGGAACTCTCTGTACCTTCTCCTCAATATTGCTGTGAACATAAAACTTCCCTAAAAAATAAAGTTTATTAATTAAAAAAAATCAGTATAGAAAATCATGAGTCCCGAAAAAGAAATATTTGGACTCAGAAAGAGAAATTTCTTTCTCTTTCAGGGAACTGGATTCCAGAAAGATGACTTCAGAGTCTATTCTGAATGAAAAATAATGACTTTGTAGATCATAGCTGGATAGAACATTAGGGGGAAGGGCTTAGGAAGATTTAGATTCTTGCCAGAGCTAGTAAAGAGGCTCATGGAATTTATGTTGAACCAGAACCAACACACACCTCAGCTCTTAGCATCAAACCTGGCCCTAGAAGACAATGAGAAAATATTTGTAGAAAGAATGAGCAAATAAATCTCATCTATCTATCTATCTATCTTTGATCAACCCACTATCTGTCATCATCTATCATCTATTTACCTAGAAACACAGGTATGATTGGAAAAGATGATTTTTTAAAAAAAGAGAAAATGACATAGGGTGGATTCCAACGCTCCTAAAAATTAAAAAAGATTATGGTAACATTGGAAAAATATCTTCTCACTTCGTTGTTGTCTTGGAGGAAGGGAACTTAGTTGGAAAAGGGGAACAATAGTTGGAATGCCAATTAATTCTCAAGGACATTTAGAAGGGAAGATCAGCAAGCCTATTGGGTTTAACTAGCACACGCTTTGTGTTTTCCACAATGTATAAATTATCAGAGAGAGTTAAATTATTTAGTTACCAACCAGTAACATTTATAATTTTTGTATTTCAGTGTGTATGAACATAAAAATAATTACCAAAATTACCATAATACTAAAACCAGTCATATTTGTATATGTAATTCACAACTACAGTGGCACTAGAAAACAAGAGAATAGTGTGGTTTTTCCAATGAATGGTCATAGATCACTTGTTTATTCATATGAAAGAAATGAACCTGGATTTACCTCGCACCAATCATAGAATTTAAAGTTTTATTGTTCAACTATAAAACTGCTAGATTAAACACAGAAAATGGTTTCCCTAACATCGATTTTGGAAATGATTGTTTTAGCATACATACATATCAGAGCTGTCATTGTATAGCACACAAAAACACACAACAATGACTACCACTCAACAATACATTGCCGTACATTGACATGAGCACAGCTGTGAGACACTGATATATCAATGATACAGAGTTCCCCTGCTCATGACTAGACAAGTACCCCTCATTTTCTGGGCCTGGGTGAACTCAGAAATCAGTGTCATTGCAGACCCCATCTCTAGGCACAAACAACCTGACCGGTATCTCCTCTGGGCTGCCTCTCCTGGAGCAAGGAACTCAGCGTAAAAAAAGAGTCTGCCCTGGCAGGACCATATTCCTAGACAGGGGAAGTTTTTAAATTAACTTCTGTCCATAGATGTCTGGCACTAAATGCTTGTGACGTATTCTAGGCATACATTTCATTTCTCCCAAACTCCCTGCCCATAGAATTAAAAAAGCAGCAGATAACCCCCTAGACAGAAGGCCCAAATGGGCTACCCACTCGGGTCCCCCTACTGCAGCAGAGGCTTCTTCATCTGTCTTATCTTGTATTTATCAATAAAATCTATACTTTCACTTACTCTAATGGTCTGTGGATTCAGTCTTCAAATCTCTGAGACCAAGGACCCAGCAGAGGGAAAGAGATTCCAGCTACACCAAAGATATAAAACCTTAAGAATTGTTTGCATAGGACCACCAATGGAAGCATACAGGGCAAGTTCATGAACTTAATTCTCCAAAATCTTAATGGCAACATCTGTGATGACCATTCCAGAAAAAGAGTTCCAAAATTGCTTTGAAGGGTGACCAGACACTGGGTTGGTA